CATTCCTGCTCATGCCTCTGAGTACAGTAAAAGCTTTGCAGGAGGAAGCTGCAGAGCTCCTTCAAGAAACTTTTGCTGCAGTTTTAAATACCATGGTTTCTTCAAGCTGCAGTTTCTGTAAGAGTCTGCTCTTTGCAGTCTCACTTTCCTAAAGCCCTTGTTGGTGACTGCTTTGTATAACTACAGCGTGAAGCACACAGGGTTATTCCCACTCAATGCCCACAGGAGTGTTATGGTAGAACTAGAATAGGTGGGGAGAAGGATGGTCAGAGGTACAGCACTGCTTCTATGTGAGGAATGACTCAATGGATGGGGATCCCTCAGCTGGCGAGAGAACCGAGCTTTTAAAGGAGCCATGAGGGCTATAAAACCCTGAGTGTTGGAGAGGGTATCTCCAAATATGAGAGGAGCATCAAGGGCCAGCTCAAGAATGAGGAGGTTGCTTTGCACACACAAAGGTGAGCTGTGCAAGCTTTTGTCATTGGGTACTGTGAATGTGGCTTCAAAAAGGAGCTTGGGGATAGAGGGAAATCAAGGCTGTTAATGCAGAGACATTTGTGGGTTCAGGTTGGTGGTAGCTGGGTGAGTGCTCCGGAGAAGCTTTGCTGCGTGCTTGCCCTGTGCCTATGCCATTCCTGCCTTTGTTATTTGGTCACTGCAGGGTGAGCACAGGGCTAGATGGATCTTTAAGCTTAAAGGTGCCTTCCAACCCAAACCACTCTAGGATTCTATGAGATGTCCAAGGATTTGGGAACCTGGCAAAGAGTTTCCTCCTGCGGCAGAATTAACCTACATGAAGGAAAACACATAGGGGCTCTTTGAAGCTCTGTGTTGTTGTGCTCTGACCCGCAGGCCTGTAGGACAGGAGGGGTGGCACGGGCGGATTCTGCAGCCGAGCAGGGAGTGTCTCCCGTTGGAGCTGCTGTTTCCGTTTCAGGCCCGTCTCTCTGCAATGCGGGTCACGGTGCAGAGCTGCTTTTGGACACCAGGTGGCAGATGGATCTCTTGCTGTGTATGGAGGCTTTGTGTGCTGCTGCCGCCTGCGCTTCCAGCCTTGGTGAGGGCCTGTCGGGAGGGGCTTCAGGTCTGGGGGTGGATTCTGGGGGGGAGCAGAATCCTGGCTGTGCTCTGGGAGAGCTCAGGGGGACCCCAGTGCAATGCAGCCCCTGCAGAGCCCACCAGAGGTAGGGGATCAATCCAGACCTACCGTCTTTAAGGTTAAAATCAGCCCCCCTTGGTTAATAAATCAGGCTCAGGGTTATCCCTAATCCTGCTGCAGCTGGAGCAAGTTGGAGCTGAGGGTGGCCTGGAAAGGTGATGGACTGGGATTGTGCCCTGCCACCGGGAGCTGTGCTGAACCTTGGGCCCCTGCCCAGCCCCAAAATGTAGTAACCCAGACTTCATTAACCTGCTGCTGCTATTGCAGCTCGAGTTGTTCCACAGGAGGTGTAGGATGAGCTGGGAGAAAGTTTGTGCATCCATAGGTGTGCCTGGGAAATAAGGACTGTAGTCTCATAGGATCCCAGGTTGGTTTGGGTTAGAAGGGACCTGGGGGGGGCAGTTCCATCCTGTCTCAGTTCCCCAGAGTAAATCCAGGGTGCAGCAGTGCTGAGTGTACCCAGCACGAACAGTGAGTGAGGGGAGAAACCCTGCAGCAGGACCCAGAGATGTAGGTAGGTGACATCTGGAGTGGGGGGAACATTTCTGTTCTACCTCCTGCTCCTGGAACCTGGTACTGCTGTCAGGGCAGAGCTTTTAGACACTGGGTGCTTCAGGCCTGGGGAGTGGATTTTTGGGGAGCACAGTCCTGGCTTCCAAGAGCAATGTGTTCCAGTACCTCACCACCCTGATTGTCAAACATTTCTCATGTCCAGCCTGAATGTTTCAGGTTAAAACCATTGCCCCCTGCCCTGTCACAACAGGTCCTGGTAAGTCTTTCTCAATCTGTCTTAAAAACCCCCTTTATTGAAGGGCTGTTCTAAAGTTTCCCTTGAGTCTTTCGCCAGGCTGAACACCTCCAGCTCTCAGCCTGTCTCCACAACAGAGCTGTTTCATCTCTCAGACTGTTTCTGTGGCCTCCTCTGGCCCTGCTCTCACAGATCCATGTCTGTTGTGTGTGGGACTCCCCACAGCTGGAAGAAGTGCCCCTGGGAGTCTCACCCAGAGCACAGTAGAGGGGGAGAATCCCCTCCCTTGACCTGCTGCTCACACTGCTGGTGATGCAGCCCAGGATACAATTGCCTTTCTGGGCTGCAAACACACATAGAACCCCAGCCTTGTTTGGGTTGGAGGGACCTTAAAGCTCATCCAGTTCCAAC